AAATAATATCTGAGATTAATAGCAACGATTTGACTTATGTGCCAGGCACGTCTGCAGGGTGAATTGTTTCAAGATTGTCACTATTGTCTGGACGTTCATTATTCATACCGATTATTCGGTATGAATAATGAACATCCAGACACATTGTTTCATAATACCTACTATTATACGTTCATAATATATTACGCGTGAAATTTGCATATCACCTCTTACAGATACCTTATATGTATTGATCAATTGAGAAATGTACGCATAGACAGAGCTACTTTCTAAATGATTTTTCGTTTTGTTCACAAAGCTAATATATTCCTCAGTAGTTTGAGAAAAATACATCGACCTTTTAGTTCCTTTCAAAAAAGATACGTAAGATAAATTTAGTATCTATCGAGCGGCTTAGTTCAACCGAGATATGATTGGATTTTAATAATAGCTAGGCCCCAATTAAATTTATAATGGGCTCAATCGATAGCTCGGTGTCCTATTGCATAAGAAAAATATCTCCCGTTTTACTCTTCATGCAGCATGAACAAAGATAACGCAAAGTCCGAACTTCTAAAAATGTAAATAAGAAACGTCGCCGACTTATACGGAACGTCTCGGATCCTCGCGGAAGATATTTACGCGCAGACAGGTCGACCGTTCTTGTGACTATCGACGAATACGGGTGAGAACCGTATCCAAGATGTACCAGTCTATTTAGTAATTGGTACACGAAAGTGGTATTCTATTCTCTCTCCTTCTCTCTACCTCTACTATCCATCATCGAACCTTTCATCGCTCCCTCTCGCTTCACGTATCTATTTATCAAATTTCATCGACGTGAACATACACTCTGCCATCGTGATATAGAATTCTAGAATCGTGAAAGAACACAGTATTAATTAGGCACGTAACATCACCCACGTACAAAGTAAGAGAATACGACGAGATTATAGATTTTATAGTGAATTATGTTCGTTCTCCCGTATAATGAATGAGTTTCTGCATTGCTTCGTAAAGATAATTGCGCCTAAGCGTGCATTTTATTTACGGTAAACGTGCGTTTAATCGCGCGATCTATTTTAAAATAAATGTTCGAAAAATAATAACACATTTAATTAATAGAAAAAGCAAAGATAGAGACAAGCCCGAAGCCAATTACATGTATCGAAAGAAATAATCGTGGAATAATCGTTTGGACGTTGCTCATAGAATAATTTTGTATTTATTTATTTTATCAAGTTCTTATAAATTTTAATAAATATATTTTCATTTTGTTAATTAGCCGTTAGTTATTTATGTGAAACCATTTATATAAATCTAAAGTGGCAAATAGAAAGAAATACTATTTATTCGACTTTGATAGATTTCAATAATCGTATAATTAATATGCAATTAAGGGACTATTAACTGTGTACATATATATCCCTAATATTAATTCTCAAAGTTACTTGCGGAAACAATTATTCTATTCGTAATATTCGTGTTTTATTATTACGAGAAATCTATTTGCCCCGATCGTCTAATCTTCGTTGAATGATTAAAATTTCTTGTTCCTCTTATGTCCCTCTTATTCCCACATCGGATTTAGTTATGTTATTGCCGGAGGCTGCTCCGTTTGTCCATTTGCACAACTAATCACCGTTTTCCGTGCTATTGCGTCCGAGAAGTAATAATGAGAATCCTCTCACAGTCGCGCGCGGCGCGAGTGGGACGCGCCCGAGATCGCATTGTTGTTGTCCGTAACGCATATGATGCATCCTCTAACCGTTCTACTTTTCTCGTTTTTATTTTGCATACACCTTGTCTTTTCACCTTTTCCTTGAACCGTGCAAAACGGTGAAATTTCACCGAACCAGAAAGGATGATACAAAGTTCCTTTTTTTCGGTTCTCACGACGATTCTTGTTTTCTGACGTCGCTCGTGATTTCTCCATTCAACCTTTCGTCGCACCCGACGTAGAAAGTATTCGCAAGTTTGTCGTTTAATTGCGCTATTCAGCCCGTCCCTGTTATCCTGTTGTCTCTCCGACCGATTCGAGACGCCGCTTTTCTCATCGGTTGAAGAAACAAGGAAATCAAACGAACTTCACGATATCGCGGCATCGGAGATAGAAAACGTTTGCTACGGTTAATGATTTTACTCGATCATTTGTGCCTTAACCGTGAAAATATTTCACGGCTTTTATAGTATTTTTTCAGTAGTAGGGAAAAATCAATTTCGAGTTTTTTAATTATGGATCTTTATTAGATCGTATGAAAGACGACATGGTGGCATTTTGTATAATATCGAGTATTGGCATCTGTAATATATTGAACTATTTAATAGAAATATAGTTTCTCTCACTTCGGCTTCTAATTACTTCTAACATAAAAGAGAAATGTGTATTTTATTCACAGGTTGTTATACGATTGTCACATAACTTGAAATAAATTGTTGTATTTACACATATTCACTAACTAATAAGTATCAGTTTTGTTAATTATAATATGCAAAATTATTACAAAAAATCTAAAAATTTTACAAATTGTTTATATAAACATATCGCAATATTTAGTTAGGAAAATTTTACATGAAATACTTAGATATAAAATAAAGCAGTATTATCTTTCACTCTACAGTTTTTTTATATAAATAATATAATAAATAGAAATCTCGTGAGTAAGAACTGCGGATGCCATTTCGCACCTTAAGAATCGCAGTTATCTGTTAAGTCATCCTGCAAAGAGCATTGCTTTCTCAAGGAATATCTTCCAGATACACTCGCGGCATATCCTGAAAATGTCGGACGCCCCACCTGCGCTTCATATTCACTTTACCCTCGACGATCGGACAATTTGACAAAGCGAATCGCATTCTTTCCAGTCACGATTATCTGGCCACGAAATATCAAAGGATTATCGCCTATCACGAAACATAAATCAATTCTGACACCAATGTTTTGCATAACAATTACTTTACACGGTTGAAATTAACAACCGCGCATTACGTCACTATTACGATTTTTTGAGTGTTAAGAAAATATCGGTTAAAATATCTCTAAATTAATACATGTAAAAAATAATTAATACATGTTTTTAAAGTAGATATACTGGAGGGTGCTGCGATTATTAGAATAGAATATGTAAATATGTGTGCATAAGAAATAACCAATATCTATATATTACATATATATGTATTACATAAATAAATAAATATATACATATATATAGTTATTATATATATAACGTTTTGAAAATAAATATTGAGAATTTCGAGGGTGTTGTGACCGAGTCGTTTATGGTCAAAGATTATATGTATGCCGCGAAATAATCATTGCAGCGACACGACAGCCTTGATCTAATTCTTCTCACGTCACGTCAGGTCGCGTCAGGTCGCCGTTTTCGCTGCATTGCGCAGACATTTGCTCGTATTTTTAATACATATACATTCCGAGAGATTTTCGGGATATGGTCTTTCTGATCGATTTTAACAATATTACGATTTAAAAAAAATCAAAACTTTTCGAATGCTTTTCAGAATTTTCTACTGCCAATTTGTGGTTCTATATCTTTAATTTTATCAATAATTATGTATCTAACTCTGTAGATTCTATATTTCTCTATAAACTTTCAACTTTTTTAAATATTGAACGTTTGTTCAGTATTTACGGGATCATGATGCCTTAACACGTGAACTTAAGTGCTTATCAGATCACATATGCTCTGATATATACGTAAATTCATATATTAAAAGCATCAATAACTCCGTGTGCACATTGATTCCACATATCCACATGGAAATTGGAAATTATGTAGAAAATCCTGTATCATTTATTAACTCGTTGCGGTCCAAGCTATTTCTCGCAAATGAGCGAAGATCAAGTATTTTATCCCCAATTTCATCTGATGAGCCCACATATCCAAGTGGAAATCCTATATAGAAAACCCTACATCATTTATTAATCATCGTTGCGGTCCAAGCCATTTCTCGCAAATGGGCGAAGATCAAGTATTTCATCTCCAATTTCATTTAATCGACTAATCTAACATGGATAATAAAAATTGGGGGGGGGGTTATGGAAACCCCAAAAATACAACTAACCGATTATAATCGCGTACAGATTTAAATATTTGAAAGGGCTCTCTTATACAAAATAGCATAGCTGTATATGCATAGCATAAGCCTAGGATGTCCGATTCTTGAATTTATTCGCAAAAGAAACGTAAACGTAAAAACGTGCGCAAATTTTGCTTTTACAGAAAAGTTGCAAGCATGGCTTTTAGCCAATCAACTTGTAGATTTATCATAAAAAGAGAATTTGCGTACACGTTTATCTTGCGAACGAATTCAAGAATCAAATCTTTGGACCAATGAGCATCTAGCACAAGGCCTGTTCAGTGTTCATTTAGCTGAACGCACAGTTCATCTTTTCTCTTTTTCTCTCTTCAACGTGTGTTAAGAAAAAGAGGAAAGCTGAACCGTGCAAGAAGTTCAGCTAAAACGAACAGGCCTATAAAGTCTAGTCATTTCAGCTAGATGCTGGATTGGTCCAGACGGTCTTATGCTATGCCATTTTGTGTAAGAAGGCTCTTATGCAATAGGCCACCGCAACGCATCTGTCGAGTTGAACCGCAAAGTGTTAATTTCATATTTCTATCGAACATCATCGAAGCGCGCAACGCGCAATGCGCGTCCCGAGCGTGATGTCCGCATCTTATCGCTCAGCTTATCGAGGATTGTCGCATCGAGCGACCAACGAGGAGAGCGACTTCCTCGTTATCGAGCTTCCCTCGCTCGCTCGCTCGCTCGCTCGTTACCTCCCCGGCGCAACGCGTTCAACGCACTCTGCACTCGCGCGAGCAGAAGCGGTCCGGCCATCCTGCCAATCACGTGGCACGTTGACGCGGCCAACTTCAAAACGAGCGTTCGCCGGTCGGTCGACCGCCTCGCGCGGCTCGCGGCTCGCGCCACGCACGCTGCGCGCAGCTCAGTTCGGACAGTTCAGTCAGTCACGCTCCTGCAGCCGTAACGTTCGTGTCATTCTGCGTCGCGTTATCCGCCGCGCGCTCGTCACCCGCTCGCGCCACGCGTCACGCCCGCTATCGCGAGGTTTAAAGCGCGCGGCGGTCGTGAATCTCTGTGCGCGCGTGAAGACGTTCGACGTGCGATTCCGACGAGTGCCGCTTTTTTTTCGGTCCACGGTACGTACGTATACGTCGAGCATGCGCCAGGACCGAGCTGCTGGGCAGTCGCCGCCCGTGTCCGAATTCTGCGAGATTTTTTCTCGGCGGTGGATAGAACGTAGCTTCTTCGCGTACAATGAGTCGCGTCTCGGTAACCTTTGCTCCGTACTCGTATCGTTGACGTCGCGACTAAGATATCCCGGGGGGAACGACAGTCGGATTCCCCGGGTCGGAGCAAAGCTCGATCAGCCACCCGGCACGCCTAGGTTAGGTCGCTGCGGAAGCAGCAGGAAGTTGGTCGCGAACGGATCGAACCCGCGCTCTTCTCTCCTCTCCCGCGTCGCCGCCAGTATGTGTCTCGAAACGAATTATCGCTCTCGCGGTGCTCGCGATAATCGACAGCGCGAGGCAAAAAAATTGTCGCCAAGTGCCGATGAGCCTCGTCAGCCTCGTCAGCCTCGTCTGCCGTGGTGATCGTGCGCGTGAGGAACGAGTAACGCGTGCGAGTAACTAATAGTCTGTTTTTTCATATAAGATTCTCTAAATTTTTGCAGATTCTATTCGTAGTATAATTTACGAGGTTTTATTCCTGACAGAACTGACTATGAATTTATCATCAGACTTTCATACGCTTTTCAAATCGTCACTTTGCGCGATACGTTTTTTTAAACGATGATCGTATATCGGGTATCACAGTTATCGAAAATAATCGATAGACAGTTTTACGTAGCAAACGATTCTCTTATTTTTATGAATTTAAAAAAAAAATTTTTATTTAAAAGAAATCTAAATCTTATTTATTTCTGCATGCGTTACAATCTGCTAGGGACGAGTCACTGATTGCAGGATAACGACCTTTGCGGTCGACTCTGAAAATAGGGAAAAGACGACGCGAAGCGGGGAAAAAGCCGACGCTTTCCCACTTGGACGCTGCGCGGATGCAGTTCTCCATGAAGTAAGGTCCTATTTCTGTCGCGTCTTTCCCGCGTGGCCTTGAAAGTCTCGGGGGATGACCTAACCCTCTGTACAACTCGTTCCTTCCGAGGGAACTGCGCCGGATTCGTTGCGCGGAAACTCGCCGGCTCGGAAACGTAATTTTCGATTATTTTTTTTTTACTTTTCCTCGACGGTGGCGGTTATTAATAGAACGCGATTGATCCACTCGCGCAAAGCAGCCGTTAGATGTTAGATAGCATTCTCGCACCAGCGATCACGGCGAAAAATTAAGCATTCTTATACCGTTACGCAAGAAATTAGTTTTTTTCTCTCTCTCTACTTCTTGCCGGTCGTAATGCGTAATTAACGTTGCATATGCACTAATTCGCGATTGACGTCGATATCGTTCATGTTCGATGCCGCGAACGGGCGAACCGGTCGAGCCTTCCGGGTGCCTCCAATCCCGATCAATTTTTAATCTTTCCGATTTAATCTGAATCCAAATACCTACTATTGAATATAGCGCTCGCGTTTAAATAGGAATTTATTTGACGCGTTCATGTAAAGATCGATGTCGCTAAATATTTTCATATCTTTGTTTTGTACTTATTTACTTTTAATTTCGACTGTCAATCTGCGGACGTGAACGTGTTCTGAAAATTGTATTAAGGTCGAAACGATCGCGTTGTTTGACAAACGTAAAATAAATTGATTGAAAGGACCTTAACGCGAGTCAAATATAATTTTCTTCAAGACGCAATGTTAAATCAATCGAAGTGTTCCATATTTACTTTCAGACTTTAATTTAGATTGACAATTCGCGCGGACGTAAATGTTTTAAAAATTGTGTTAAGATTGAAACGATCATGTTATTTGATAAACGAAAGATAAATCAAAAGCAGCGAAATCAATTGCGTTCTATTGATAAACGTAAGATAAATAAAAACATAAGATATATCGAAAAAGCCTTAACGTAAGTCGAACATATTTTCCTTCGCGATACGATGTCAAATAAATCGAAATAACGCGCTAGTTGATTGGGCTAACATACGTCAGCCGAAGAAGCTGTGTATTTACACTTCTTTTATCACCGACATCACCGTTGTCACATGTACAGGAAAAACGGTATTGCGTATTACTACAAATCATTGAATTTCAAGAAAGAGTATAATACTTGTACCAGAAGTACCTGTTATCTCTCAAATTATAATTTTATACATAAATGTTTATTAGGATTTATTCTACCCTTTTACATTTATTTGACGTCAAATTCTTTCAAGTGTCTTATTAATCAGTCCTATTTTGAGTTGGACTCGATATAATACTTTGCGATAGTCTTTTGTAGTTCTCGAATCAGTGCACGATTATAATCAGCAAATTTTATTTTTCTCGGGTCCCCATAAATCCTTCAAGTTATAAAAATTGCATGATTCATATTTGATCCACCAGATTAGATTAAATTGAAGACGAAATATTTGCGCTCATTTGTGAAAAATAATTTTGATTTGCAAAGAGTCGATACGCAGTTACGTAAACTTAGTTATTCTTTTTATCGTAACCGATAAAATTGCGATACACTTTTTTTTCTATCGGAAAGTTGAGCGATGTATCGGGAAATACCCTGCTGTTTAACTTTTACTTGGCGCATGTCGTTATATGTATGTATACATGTATACATTATTCACGAGAAATTTTTTCGCGAGATATCCCGCTCTTATCATTGTTTACTCGGTTCATTATCGAGCACGAGAAATCATTATCGACAATTCAATCGCTCAATCGTGATCTGCACCTTCACGAAGATTCTGTGTGTATGATAAACGTATGCGTGACGCGATAAAAGTTCACCAGCTGTGCGTTCTTCTTTGTGCACGTCCCCACATGCATTATACCTTTTGTAATTATTCTTTCTGATGTTCCACTTTTTAATGCCCGTATAAACACTCGTTCAGTCTTTTGTCAGTTGGCATTAATTCTAGAATATTGTCAGACTACATCGTGTACAAAACTATCTTTAGAATGCTGTTGAACTATACCGTTGAACTATCGCTCAGACATACTTTGCTACGTGGAGAATACATTTTCTCCGTGCATGCAGAATATCCTCTCCGTATTTAAGTTCCTATCGGACTGAACGACCGCCAATTTCGTCCTCCGCATTTTTTAATTCACGCGCAAATCGTGGCTCGGACAATTATTGCGCAATGAGACGCGACGATAACGGTTAGCGTTAATATATTAATAGCGTTTCGTTTGCGATATAATCGACCGGTTTGTCTACGGGCGATCGCATTGTAATGCGCGGAGCTTATATCCGACGAAGTTTGACCTGGCGATGGCAACGACTTCTTCACGACTTACTTTTACTTTAATCGCGGCATACACGTCGAGCTTGTTCCCGATGTAACTTCGATCGGTTGCTGCATCCGCCTCGAAAGCGGACTCGCTTCATCCAACTTTCGTGCTTCCTTCGCGGTATCCCTGAATTCGTGCATCGCTAGTGAAATCGTTTCGGAAACGAATTCATCGAAAACGGAATCGCGCGTGTCCGCCTTCGAGCGGCGAAAGCGCCGGGACGAGACGATTTCGTCGATTTAGGGCGATCGATCTCCCAGGCCGAAATTATTGCGAAAGGAGATCGTCCGATATCGTTCATTACCAAGTACGCTCAGTCGAATATAATGCTTATATTTCTCTTTGCGATTGTAATTTTTATGTACATCCGTTCCGCCGCTAATGCCCGGAACCTCTTTACTTTCACGAATATTAACGAGATCTTTCCAATCGCGGATTATTTTCATTGTTGCTTCATACAATTATTCGATACTTTCAGAAAAACAAGTAAGTTATCTCGATCTCCAACTTTAATGTTGGAAGAAGCTACTCAGTCCGATATTTATTCGAATGGATTGAAGATTCTATTTAATAGTCTGAAATAATTTAAATCTAATGAGAAAGAGAATGGAGAATATACTTTACTTATCGTGTGGCTCGTATACTTCGAACGTATCGGAACAATCGATTGTTAGAGAAGTTTCTCGAAGCGTGTCAGGCTGAGTTGAACGACTACTTTCCGGCATGCGTGAACCTTGATGCATTCCGTACGACTTTCAATCAGTGACTCCAAGATAAACTCCGATTACCTACAGCGCGATGCTCCGTTTCGATAAACTCGGCTTTGCTTCGTTCCACGTTCGCCACAGCGCCGAGAGAACCTTTCTTCCTCACCTACTTGCTTCGGTAGACGATATCGTTACAGTAACGCTGCAGACTATAGCGCTCGCGTGCGTAACGCGACCGGCAATGTATTATTTAATAAATGAAATTCGATTTCGCCGTATATAAATTGCATTACGGACGTTTCTAAATCACGAACGGATGCCTTCGCTGCCGCATCTTTTGGGGAGAGGGGGCTTTCGCGAATTAGAATGCTATTTGTTTCCTCTCGACCAACTTCCAAGTGACCATATCGGACTTGTAAATAACGATTAGCTGCTCGTATTGCTTATCAAGCAAATTTCTAATCCGTTTTAATTAATCCCATTAATCGACCGAGCATTCAGCCTAATCGCATTATAATCCCGCGTATCTCGAACATTAAATATGTGTAAATTTTACGAAGAAATATTATCTTACTAATTATGAGACGAAAGATTATACAATAAAGATCTCCACGTTTGCTACATTGTTGCAAGAACGTATACTTTAGCAATAAAATTTACATATTTTCTAAATTTTCATATTTTAACAATATTTATCTATCTCCACTTATACATGTCTAAAAGGAGAGCTGCTAAATTTTTATTATATTACGCTTTCTTTTTAGAAAGCATAATTCCGCTTTTTTAAATACGCGTACGTTATCGTGGAACTTAGAATGTATATTCCTTTTAATTTTCGATAGTTTCCGGAAAGAGAAACGACTGACATTTATGCCGTAAATCATTGCATTTCCTGATTCGCGAGCGAGTACCGGCGCGCCGGCGTCAACGATAAAAATGTAAAAAAGTGCAACGGTGTTTATTCGTTTAATAAGGAAAGTGCAATTTACGACGTTCGCAGGTTTTTTGTGGGCTCCGATAACTTGGATAAGCTCTTACGTGTCGTTGCGACATTAAAGTTGTTCTCTCGATTAATAAAAATAATTCACGCAGGACATTCGTGGGAACACGATAACAAGTATCAGACAGTAAACGGGAGTTCTTTAGAAAAATAAAAGATTTTATCGTCGAAGGAGTGCGTGCTAAATTATTAATTAATTGACGAATTAATTGTTCGAGAAAAAGGATCTGAACATAAATGATAGTGTGAAATAAGAAACTTTTGATTCGGGAAACGAACTATATTACACAACGTGTATTAGCGATTACCAGTGGTATTCTGTGGACATAACGATATGTCGTGACGACATTGAAGACAACGATGGACTAACGGAGTGAAAAAAAGGATATCGAGGTAGCGAGGTCGAGAGACACAATCGAGAAAACTTCCATTTGGTACAAAAGCTTGCTGGTTCGAAGGAGCTCGCAGTCTCCAAACTCTCGCTCGTGGGCAGGGTCATGTTAAGCAGGTCATGAACAGCTCGACTCCTCTCCGCGCGAACAGCGACGCATCCCCGAGTCCTCTGCATTCGCCTATTTACCAGCGAGATGGGGCTATCCCGTCGACCTCGGGCGGGAGACGCGTCGATTCCAACCACAGCTTCGAGACCTTCGGTAATCTCGCGTTGGACGTTTCGTACGCCGGTCTCGGGAACGATCTCCTCGACTCCGGTAGCAAACGAACGATAGGGAACTCTCCGTTGCGAGAGGATACATCCGCTCTGCCGCAATTATGGGAGGACATGGGGGTGGTCGAGTACCTCGAGAGGAAACTCGGCCCGCCCGACGAGAGCACGGCGGAAGAACGCGTCGCGTCGCTTCGGGAGGTCCTCGCCGAGAGGACCGACATCCACGAAGGCGACGGTAATCTCTCGGACTTCCTCTTCCACGTAGCGCGAACCAAGCACGGCAAGATCTACATAAGGGTTATCCAGATTCACCTATTGAATAGAGGTAAACGCTAATTCAGATTGTGCCAATTTATCGATTACGTTTTTAATGTACTCGTTGTACATCATAATCTTTTATTGAGAACGTCTAGCGTATTCGAATCTCTGAACTTAGATATTAAAAAAAAAACAAGGATTTATTTCCAGAAAAGCGTTCTCATTCCTGTCAAGGATGCGGTGTAGCGTCCTTGCTCACGAAAGGATATCAATAAAATCTATTTGGCGCAAGACGCTACTGCGTCTCTTGATATATGCGTGTGTGTATGTATATTTGTGTATTTACATATACACATACGCAGCAATCTGTTCTGTCGCTATATCGGTTTATATAATCAGATTTATAAGGTAGTATCTAAAGGAAAGCATTCGCTATCGACATGATAACTGATTCAGTATTTTGTGACTCAAATATAAAACTAACAGATATAGAGATAAAAATATAGTCGAGAATATAATATTGTACCGTATTATCTCAGACTAGATTTTAATATAAGGAGATTAAATACTAATTAAGTAAATATAAATATAAATCAATCATTTATGTTAAATGCTGTATTAAAGTTTCTTATATTAAGAAACGAAAACTCTGTAAGGAAAATTATTTTGAGACACCTGGTGCACATAAAAAGCGTTCCGAATCGCATGTGTGCAGTGAAGTTGATGATGTTTTTCCACTATTTCTCTGACTTGATCATTGGTTCCCTGCATGACGACTGCTTGATAACTCGCACGCATAGTTTCGACGATCTTGCACATTCGTGATATTCTCAAGTCCACCCGGTATACCGAAGATAACGCAAATGGCGAAAGAAGACGACGATGAGAGTGGTCGTAGAATGTCAATCCTGAAAACCACGGACTCACCGCGGATTTCCAATTAACGAAATTCGACGATTCACGGAGGAAGAGCTTGCAATTGGAGCGACAGCAGAAGCAGTTGCTCCACTTGACCTCTTCCACGGAAAAGAGGTGATTTTCTCGTACGATGTAAAACAGAATTAAGAAAAAAAAAGAACTGAATTTTTATGATTGAAATAAGACATGATAATCGCGTCTTATCTAGACATTTTAATTCCGTCACTCGTTATCTTTTTCACCGCGATTCATATTTTTTTCAAAAATTATTTCAAAAATTATTTATGCTACACTTGATCTATCATAAAATTGTTATAGCTATCATAAGAGTTCATAATTTATCAAAGTAACGACAAGAAATATTCTTTGAATAGAATTATTTTTATTAATCCCGCAATTATAAATGTTACATTTATTTCTATTTGCTACAATATATTTAACAAAATATACCGTCGAGGATTACGCGATTATCGTTTCATCCTTGATCTTGGCCGCGCGGCGTGAAGGTAAACATCGGAGAATGTAATTCATTAATCAATCCCTGAATCGCGCGGTATAACACTCACGCCACGTGCGAGGTGGGGCTTTACGCATCTTGGATCACGTGGATCTTCTGGCACAATAACAGACGAACGATGTAGACTTTATAATCCAAAATATGTCGATAATCGCAAGGATGTTGCGTGAGTATATAATACGTCATTTCTACAAGGCGAGATGCCCGAGGTGTCGGGAGAACTGCTGGTGGTGTTGCCACGAGAAAAAGCGGCCGATTATTATTGCAAGACTCTGGAGAAGATCGAGCACAGGCAAGAATGAATCGTCGGGATATTGTCGAGAGTGGCGATTGCACGGCGCGTGATCGAGATGCCTGCTAAGGATAACGGTGTCCTCTCTATGGTAAATAGCTGAAGGATATCGCAGGATATCGTTCATTGAGGATGAAAGGCCGAGAAGGAGACCTCACGTGATTACGGTCGGGCAATTTTAACGGCAATTTTATGCGACGCACGCTAAAGTTTACAGAGTTAGATGTTTTCTGAAGTTATGTGACATATACAATATAGTAACAGATTAATTCTAAAACATGTTTCGTAGATTGACAAATTGATCCTAAAAGCATTATTAGCACTTTTGACACACCTTTTTCTCTTGCAAAATTTTAACATAGATATATCTAGAACATAAGTTGAGATAAATTGAATTTTGTAAATTTTAATTTAAAAGACTATAAACATGCGAAAATAATCTTCATATTTATTCACGACAATGGAAACTGACGACAATTTGACGGAAGATATACTTATTTCATTCGCGAAAATTGAGTTTACAGAAATTGGCTTAAATCGTTGCATATTAGCGCGTATTATGCAATTATTTCAATTAAGTCGCGCGGCTTACGTCAATTAAGGCGCGGTGAAATCGCGACCGCTCGCATCAACGACGTTTTATATCGCACCTAATAGAGAGCTAACAAAAGTTTACAGTTAACAAAGCATTATCATACCTCCACGCTTCACCTTTCCGGTTCCCTGGTCATGGGAAATCCGTGAACTCGTATCGTACATTTATGCCCATCTATCTTTTCATCTCTTCCCACAATTAATTTCTTACATGGCAGTTTGCACGCGAATCGTGTAGTGCGAGTTCCTTGACACCTGTCGCTTGGCATCTTAATTGCAGCGTGTGTGTGATCTTGCATAGCCGAGAAGTTGATATATTTACCTTCTATTCTTATTGCCGCTGAAATACCTATCTCTTTAAAACGGTTTCACCTAATTTAAGAGACTTCTAACAATTATAATTATACGTCTTAAACAAAAACATAAAAGTGTGATCTTAAACATCAGAAAGTTGATTTTAGCGCGAAGACGCGTTAATGCGGAATAACACTTATAAATATTTTCCTTTCGATTTTGCCGCAAGTAATTTTAGCGTAAAAAGTCTCGGTACAAGTCTTGCAGATTAAGTTGTTGATATATTACTTTTTTCGCGATTTTTATAATTTCCCAGGCCTATCGCAACGTCGTTTATACTCATTAATATCAGGTAATCTTCCTCCTTTCATTTGCTACCTCAGAAAGTTCAAATTCTCATGGAAACAGCAGTTAGACCAGTGTAAAGAGAAAAAAATATCAATCTTCCCGCACGGCGAGGAGAGTCGTTTTCCCCCTGGAAAGTCGTTTGACGACGAAGTTAATACGAAAAAAAAAAACGTGTCCGCGTGGCATTTCCATCTTATCCGCGATACACGTAAGCGAGCCTTATCCACGATCGCCTGAAACCACCCCGAAATACGACCTCGCGGCGATCTCGAATTGTCAATGTCAGTGTACCCCGAAAGAAATGTAATGCCCCGCGCGCAAAAATATTCGACACGGTCGAGCGACCGATTGGATTTGCGCGAATTCCAAGGAGAGCCGGCGCCGCGGCGTCGGCACCGTGAAAATGTGAATTTCCACGGTGCGTTATCCCGTTGGTGCCGCGCGGGAGGCGTAACTTCCTCGCGCCACTTCCAGGCGTCGTGCGTTCGACGCGCTCAGCTTCCGCGACAGGGGGGCAATTTCGCAAGATCCGCGGGGCACGATGTCGCGCACAATGGGTGACATGACGACATTACCGATTCTGATTGGTATACTTGTACACATAAAAAAAATGTGCTTGATTTTAAAATATCTTTGATTTTATCGTGGAACTGTTGAAATGAGATTATATTGTTAAATGAAGAAAACTTGCTTAAATTATTTTTTATGTAGTTCAACCAAGAAAAAAAAATTGAAAGGAAAAGTTAAAATTCTTATAATTAGATTATAGATTGTTGCGTGTATACGAAACAATGAACAATTTATTAATTTGAATATATAAGTTTTTATTTGACATTTTTTTGTGTTTATTGGCTAATGTGCAACGTTATTTTTCTCGTTTTTCATAATTAGAGACCACAAATGTGGCATACAGTATTGTTTCTCGAGAAACGTGTGGTGACGGCGGAAAAAATTTGGCTGAAGATATATATTTATAATTTATACCATTCTTTCATATTTGTTTTTACACCGCCAGCTCGATGACAGATATCTATTGTGTCCATCGTTCATGTCAATACAGCGAAACGACGATACAACAAATACCTTTATAAACTATCGAATTGGTTCGCTTATTCGTGAAAAGGGGTCAGACCGTCGCGCGTCGTGTCATTTCGTCGCGTCATTTCGTTCGTTTTCCAAGTGCATTGCAGCTAACAACTCCACGTTTCTTCTCTCGTTACATCATCTGGCTTAAACTTCAAATCTGTAATTCACACGTCAGTATTCAGAATAGTATTCAAAATAATATTCAGAATAGTATTTTAGTTTTATATTCGGTGTTATATAGAGAAAAAATTGAATCAGAATATAAAGCCTGTATTACAATAATAATAACTCAATTGAGATACGAAAAATGTGAAATATCACTTGTGAAAGCAATAATGCTGCTTTTGCAAGCCTAGACTTTTAAAACTGAACACTCTTTTAATATTATATTTCAATTTTGCACGCGTTCTTTTCTGGTATTCGTAGTCATATACATGTATAAGATCGTCTTACAATTAAGTTTATCTTTAGATACTCTGTAGTCAATGAAACGAGTCGTACGGCATCTAAAGATAAACTTAAGACTTAAATATAAAATCTGGCTATGAATACCGCCCTTTAGAGCGCCATTAGAATAACAGTCGTAAAATAATCGTACCGGCCAAATTGAAAAAGAAAAAAAGAACGGGAACCGCGAATTATATTTTTGCGCGAAGTGCGCGTTTATAAAACGAAGAGTGACGAGGCGAAGCTATTAAACAGAAAACGGTCCGTGGTTGTTAATTAAGCTTGGAGCAATGCGCCAAGGTCGAGAGGGTGCACACCGAGGGGGTTGAAAGGGGCGGTTTCCTTTATAGTTGGCGGGGTTGCGCGCGTCCGGTCGTTCCCGTTCCGCAACGTTCGCCGCCCGTTCCTCGTTCCACGTTCCGTCCGCGGAACGGACGACGAACGGCCCTCAAGATGGCGCATCGATCCTTGTCGCGTGACGTCTGTTTCGTCAGCTGCGATCTGCGATATCTCGTGCGCGCACAAGTCGGACGTGTAGCGTCGTGATACTCGTGATATAACGTCGTGAGAT